TTTAGAATTTGAGTGTAAAAGTTTAAGTAAAACTGATGATAAATTTGGCCACACCACTCTGATTTAGACTTACTTTAGACCATGACCATCCTTATCCACAACCCAACCCAACCTAAGGCTTACTTTATCCGTGACATTGATATTGGGTCGCCCCCCTCAACACAAATAAAATTATCAAAAGAAAGAAAAAGAAGGTCTAATAATTAAAAATTATTTCTCTCTCCTCCACATACACAACTCAATCTTTCAACCTAATTAATCTTTATCCCTAACTCAACACAATTTAAATATTTATTTTATTTTAATTTATTTATAAATTATAATTTTATTTCAAAATATATCAAGTGTGGTCTCTATTTGTAGATAATGAAAAAATACAAATTTTAATATATTTTTCATTTTTTTAATAAAAAAATACACTTATCCAATTAAAATAGGACAAGTGTCTCATTTTCATACACTATGCATGTCCCGACCCAAGTTCACAATGTGACCTGGGTCGCCAACTTTCACGACCTTCTTTTATTTTTATTTTTTTTGTTTTGTTTTTTTTTTTTTTTTATTTTTTATTTTAATTTGTGACCCCCAGGTCGGGGTCACCTATAATTAGGCAATTGGTTTACTGTAACAATAACAACTTTTGTATGGCCCACTAATAAACATGGGTTAGAAGTTATCAGGCCCAACATCATATAGCCCGATGAGAAAACAAGGGCAATTATGTAAATAGAATTACGAACAAGTTATCTTCTTCCTACCCTGATTCAAAAACCTTAAACCATCTTTCTCTTTCTCCTTTGTTTCTGATATAAACGAAAATCAAAATGCTCGGCGGTTTATCATTTTCTGAAACCTTCGTAGATTTTGTGACCATTTCAAATTACAGCTGCAATTCTCCGTTCAATCGCCGGTTTCCAGTACCGTGGAGGCCCATTACCGTCGCCGACCCAAGGAGGAAAAATCCGAACAGAATTACGGCGAGAAGCTCTTCAAGCGATGGGGGCGGATCTTTTCTCGATAAAGATTTTGAATTTAAGCCGTCGTTTGATGAGTATTTGAAGGCTATGGAGTCTATCAAGACGGACAGAGATAGCAACAGTAGCTCTAATGATCAGAGTAGTAGTAAGAGTCCGAGGAAAAAGAAGGATGCGAAGAATTTTTCTCGAGAAGAAGGTAAGGTCAGTAGTGGTGAGGCGACTGTTGCTCGAGAGAAGCCGAGAAAGGATGAAGCTAGCAAGAAAAGTGCGTTAGCTAAAGTGGGCTCCAGAAATGTTGCTTTGCGCGTTGTGTCGGAAAATGTCAGCAACAAGCAGGGTAGAAATCTCAAGAATTTTGCTGGAAAGAAGAGTGGTGGCACTGAGAGCGAGCTCTCGAATTTCGAAAGAGATGCATTCAAGACATTGAAGGATGATGATGATGATGATGCCATGGATGAGCCAAGAGCTGGACGGGTCGACATGGAGGAGAGGATTCAGAAGCTTGCCAAGTGGTTAGTAATCAATCATCAGTAGTGTAGTTAATTGGATATTTGGATATTTTCATGAAGTTGGGGCAATTGGTTTGTGAAAATGACTTGTTTTTGGGAGCTCTTTGTACACCCTTTTGAAGTTCATTTAACACATTTTAGGAATTAGGTGCTTTCATTCATCAAGTTATATAGCTAACAGCTTTGGCCCTTTAGTATAGAATCGGGTCCAAATGAATTATGATAGCAATGAGTGCTAAAGAGGTCACCATATATACAAGGTTTTTTAAAAATTTGGAGATATTAAAGGTTCAACCTTTATGCCCGTATAAGGAAAAGACTTGGTGTTTCAGTTTTTTGCATGTTTGATTTATGATATGTTGTATTTTGGCGAACTTTGTCATCAGAATTGTTTGCTTCTCTACTGCTCATAGTAAAGTAGTTTTACTTGTACAGTCTGAATGGTGCAGACATTGATATTCCCGCATGGCAGTTCTCGAAAATGATGATGAGTGCTCGAATAAAATTTTCGGATCACTCTATTTTGAGAGTTGTCCAGATATTGGGTAACTTGGGAAACTGGAAGCGGGTGCTCCAAGTCATAGAGTGGATTCGGGCTCGTGAGCGCTTCAAATCTAACAGGATAAGGTATGTTTTTGTTTTCTCTGTAGCTCATTTTACACCAGTAAAATCAAATTCATGATTTATCAAGTTTTGGGGTCAATTCTCGCATTCTCTATTATGGCATTCAGGTCCGTGCAGATATAATTTATTAAATTATTTAACGGATCTTAATAAACGCTTTTTGTCGGACTGGACAAAAATATAGAAAGGAACTCCTAGAAATACAATACATTCAAGAAAATAGTTGTAAGTCAGAAAGAAAGTGGTTTATAAGGATTGCTTCTATTTCTAAATATTCTTGTCGGAAAATTTAGAAATTATCATATACTGCGGAATTAACTTTACATGATAAATTTGTTATAGTGAAGCATGTTTAACAAGAGTAGCATTATTGTGGAACCTTATCTTCCGTTAAAAAACTTATAAATTGCCTTTTTAAGGTATTTAAATGACTAAATATGATGGTAAAAATCTTTTAATTTACTTGTTACTTTTGACTTGGAAATTTTTGTTATGAAGATTTTATTTTTATTTTCTCCCCATTTCTCCATACTTTCTAGATATATATATACAGCTGCACTGGATGCTCTTGGAAAAGCAAGGAGACCAGTGGAGGCTCTTAATCTCTTTTGCTCAATGCAGGTGATCTTTTGTGATAATGCGTTCATGTGTACCTAATGAAAACATAAATCTTCATAATTATTATTTTCTCTTTATACATACACTTTTGTCTCGACCTCATACATTCTTCTACAGGAGCAAATGGCTTCGTATCCCGATATTGTGGCCTATCGTTGTATTGCTGTCACTCTTGGACAAGCTGGTCACATGAAGGAATTGTTTGATGTAATTGATACCATGAGGTCTCCTCCCAAGAAGAAATTTAAATCAAACGTTATCGAGAAGTGGGACCCACGATTGGAGCCGGATGCAGTTGTCTATAATGCTGTAAGTACCCTTTTTTTAAAGTCAAATATAACCAATCCAGGCAGAAAAAATCAACTATGTTGACTTGTAAGTAGTCTGTGATGAACAATATATATATCTGTCATTCAGGTTCTTAATGCGTGTGTTCGGCGTAAAAAATGGGAAGGTGCTTTCTGGGTTTTGCAGCAGCTAAGCGAACAGGGTAAACAACCTTCAAGCACAACTTATGGACTAGTTATGGAGGTAAAATGCCTAGCAATGTACAACTGTCACTTCTAAGTAATAGTAAAAACAAAAAAATAAACACTTGAATTAAACAAAATATTTGTTTACCTCTATTTGCCTTGACATTCTTGTTTATGATTTCACAAAAAAATATAAATATATAAACGTCCTGTTTGAAGTTTTTGGCTATACTTGCACAAGCAGCATGATGGGGTTTAGCGGGGTTCCTCATATATGACACTTAGGTAGCTGCAAATATATCCTATGAAGACCTCGCGTAAATTCAACTATTGTCAATGAAATGACTTGCTGCCTTCTCTTTGACATCTTCTCGCCACTTATCCTGACTTTATCTGTACTCGAGCAGGTGATGTTAGCATGTGGCAAGTATGACTTGGTTCATGATTTCTTCAAGAAGATACAGAAATCATACATACCAAATGCATTGATATATAAAGGTAGTTGATTCATTTCCTCATCCAAATATATTTCGTGCTTAGTATAAGTCTTGTTGTTTGTAGTTGTCGTGAACACGTTTTGGCGGGAAGGAAAAATTAACGAGGCAATAATGGCTGTTGAAGAAATGGAGAGAAGAGGAATAGTTGGTAATGCCGGTCTATATTATGACCTTGCCCGCTGCCTTTGTAGTGCAGGAAGATGCCACGAGGCGTTAAGCCAGGTTAGCTCACATTCATTTGTTATTATTATTATTTTTAATTGTCAATATTATTTTGCTTCGAGTTCTCCATGAGGGCCCTTCTGAGAGATTTAAATGTTTTGCTGCCACGTTTTTATTTTTTTTAAATATATTTTTTGGTTTGCAGATTGACAAGATATGCAAAGTTGCGAACAAACCCCTCGTCGTAACTTACACCGGCTTAATCCAAGCGTGTTTAGAAGCCGGCGAAGTTAAAAACGGGGCATATATCTTTGATCACATGCAGAAGTTCTGCTCGCCAAACTTAGTGACGTGCAATATAATGCTAAAGGCTTTTCTTGATCACAGAATGTTTGAAGAAGCCAAACAGTTGTTCCTAAAGTTACTGGAAAACAGCAAATTCATCAGTCGCAAAGAAGATTATAAAGCTCGGGTTATACCTGATATCTACACGTTCAACACGATGTTAGATGCGTGTGGTGAGGAGAAAAGGTGGGACGATGTTGAGTTTGTTTATACGCAAATGCTGAAATTCGGACATCATTTCAATGCAAAACGCCATCTTCAGTTGGTGTTGAATGCTCGCCATGCTGGAAAGGTATTGTTCTGGTTTATGTCATTTTTTTTTCCAGAAGTTCGGGTCTACAAACTTAGGCTATGTTTTAGTAAAACTAGTTGATAGCTAATAAGTGATTTTCGAACTTATAGTTTATAGCTGAAAAACTGTGTTTGGTAAGCATATAAGCTAGTTTATTTGATTAGCTTATAAGTTTCGTGTGTTAAATACAATAAGTTTGGTTTTGGTAGGACGAGCTATTTGTAAAAAGCTTGAGCTTATCTCATATGTAGCTGTTCAAATAAGCCAATAGAAATTTTTATTTCAACTAACTTATCAGCTAATTTTACCAAATACTTTTATCATATAAGCTAGTTTTTCAACCATAAGTCATAAGTTATCAGCTCGAAATTCACTTAAAAGTTATAAGCTAGCATATCAGCTAGGTTTACCAAACATAGCCTTAATATCCAGTTAAAATCAACAACCAAATTCTTTTTTAGGAAGCGCTGCTTGAGATGACGTGGCAACACTTGGTCCAAACTGAACGGGCTCCACCTCCTCTCCTCGTCAGAGAAATGTTTTGCTCGAAACTCGAGAAGGGCGACTCAGCATCTGCCCTCTCCATCACCAACTTTGCTTCGACCGAATCACAAGTATATTCTAGAAAAACTTGGTCGAAATTTCTTGCCGAAAATGCCGACAGGCTTGAGGAGAGTACCCTTCGCGAGCTCGTGCATAAAGGGCAACTTCGTTTGGCGGTAAGTGAAAAAAAATCTGCACTTACGAATCTAATAGATTCTTGTAAAGAAATTTTAAGGAGCCGAAGAACGGTAACTGTTGTGCAAAATCAAGAGCCTGTTGTTGTTTTCTGAATGTTGGGCAGTGTAAGATTTTGTTTTGGTTAAATATTGAATTCTGTATACTCATTATTCAATGGATCAAAAGTTAATGAAAATAAAGTGTTCACATTCTCTACTGACTATATTATATTATCTCTGGTGACAGATGAAACTAACACACACACACACACACACACACACACACACACATATATATATATATATATGTTTTAACCTATTAGGATTTTATAAGTCTACATGAGTTGTATCCTTTATGGAGTTAGGGTTTTGTTTTGTGTGTGCGGTTGTCTTTTCTTTTTGATGGATCTTGTACACCTTGGACTCATTTCTGCCAAGGGGTAGGTCCAAGTTTTCTGGTTCATTTTGTGTGTCAGTTGACACTTTTGTACTTTTTTTTTTTGAGTTTTCAGTTATTAATATAATTGTCGTTTGAAAAAAAACGAGTTTGTATAACTTGGAAATTATGGTTTAATAACTTGGTTAATCATTGAAATGCATGTGATCTCACCTCATAAGTTTACTAAAAAAATTATATTTCAGCCATGTGAAAAAATATTTTGTTTTGTTTTTTTTGGGTACAAAATATTTTGTTTTGTTGATGACTGATTAATTAGCCGGCGCTCAGGTCAACATGTTAGGCACAGGATAACGAGGAAAATAAGAGCTTTGTCACTTTCGTTGAGATTATTGTTGGAAAATGAAAGAGATAAGAAAATGAGAATATTTGGTTAGATAATTGTAAAAAAAAAAAAAAAATAGATGAAGAAAATGAAATCCTATAAATGTTATTTACATTAAAATGCTATTGGTGAAGTTTTGACATGAGGACATAAATATAAAAATGAGACAAATGAATTGATGTAATAGGGAAGACTATTAAAAATTTGGATTTTCTTGAAGTTGACAATATGATTTAGATGCTCACCAATCACCATCTCTCTCTATTTGACCAATTGCAAATGAACATTGCTTAATTCATTTCTTTCTTAATTGCCTCTCCAAGTGCCAATTTAATTGTTAGGCTTGCAATTAGGCATATTTATTCAACTATGATGTTAATTGAGCTTTAATTTGACCCTTTCTAGGAAAAAAAAAAAAAAA